ACCCATTTTGGTGAGATTCAGTTAAAAGGATGCCATAAAGATTTGGAGAGGGTAATCGGCCAAATCTGGGCTTGCTTTGTAGAGCACATGTCCAGCACACCAGTGCTGTTTTCCTGTGACAGTGTGTCAAGGTTCAACCCTGCAAGAACCTCTTTCTCTCTATCTTTTATGTTATGTAATGAAGCTGATGCGATCTATGCTATCTGGTAGTGTGTTCTAGGTAACACTGTGATAATGGCGTGACTTTGACTTGTTGTAATCCCCTCCTCCAGGCTGGCTTCGCTGCAGAAGGAGCCGAGTCTGGAACGCCGTTTCCTGAAATCAACCTGCTAGAAAAAGTAAGCACAGGAGAAACTAATCGCTCACTGCGAGAAAGTAAACTTGACCTTTAGCAGACTTTCAGCTGTTTGTTTAGCACAGCAGGATACAATTCACTGATATGTGATTGATTTCCTGTGGTAGTGCGCTCTTTCATTTATCTTCACTGAACTCGTGAAAATCACTGCACTTTATCTGAAAATAATCCCTACAGTTCTTTCTCTCGCTCATGTTTTTAAAAACAAAAACATTTCAGGACTGGACCGACTACGACGAGAAAATTAGTGAGTCTGTGGGGATATATGAGGTCACACACCAGTTCATCAAGTGCTGATATCACCATGCATTGAGCCTTAGAGGAACACTGCAGGAAAACTTCCTCTGCCCCAATTCCTGGCGACGGGGAGTGCCTCGACACGGAGATGTGATCGGCGCTTTGGTTGATGACGAACATTAAGGTGTGCGGATTAAGGCAACAGGTTGTTGTACACATGTCTTGGATTGATCAACATGCTAAGAGGATGTTTTTTTGTTTTTTTTTTCAGTCCCTCAATAAAAATGAAGGATGAACATTTTGAATTGAGGTTTTCTTTGCTTTTGCTCCTGAAACAGCAATACAAGACTGACGATGTGTAGTATGAGGTACTTCACATTATATGCTAAGGATGCTAATGGAGAATACACTTTGAAATGTCCTCCACACATTTTGTGTAATTAACAGATAATTATGTATGACTCACTTCAGAGTTAAATAAAAAGACAAGTAACGTTAAACCTTGGGAATTAAATTAAGACGCAACGCTACTTGACAAACATCCATCCCATCCATCCATTTTCTTCTGTTTATCCGGGGCCGGGTTGCGGGGGCAGCAGCCCAAGCAGAGAAGCCCTGACCTCCCTCTCCCCAGCCACCTC